GTTCTTATTTATGCATAGTTGGTACTCCTTTTGTTGTCTAGAACTGCAAATGATATTGTTATTAGTGATATTTGTAAAAGGAATGATTGTTGATAGTATGATGTTCGAACCGATGATGGTATGTATGGAATTGAACGGTTGATAAATTCAAGTAATATATTCATTGGAAAGGTTATTATAGTGAGATGGATTAAAAATAATATATATTCAAAGACAGGAGTAGAAAAAAATACTAAATGGTCTCTCGATTTGCTTTGATTTTTATGGATTTTTTAAAGTTTTACATTTAAGATTTCATAAATTCAATCTTTTGATTTAGGTGTTCTTGTCAATAGAATGATGTTGCTGGAAAACGTGGTGGTGGTAATGAAGAAGCCCCAATTAAATTGGACAAGATGAGACTCAATTGGAACAGAGTTGAATTTTACTGAACTGGGTTGGATAAATTATTTTTATAGCTTTTGGTATTATTAGAACAAAACCCAATAAAATGCTAAATTTTCTAGATTGTCCATAATACAAAATAACTTACATTACCTTCAAGTTCATCTATAAAAAAACCTAAATATTTTTATCTAATTCAAAAAGAATCATTTATGAAAAAAAAGCCCAAGTTAAATCAAGGTTTGAGGAACAACATTAATCTTTTTTCTACTTCAATATGTGAATTACTTCACAATTATATACTCCTTGGACGTTATCAAAATATTAATTTTGTAAAAATGCCAGTTGACGGTTATGATTGTTTTGAAGTGTATTCCTGTTGGAGAATTGGGTGTCAAGCAACATGATTGTTATGAAATCCTACCTGATGGCCCATGTACTGTTTAATAAAATGGCAAAGTGAACACCAACTTTCCATATACCATCCGCCTTCATAAGGTTATGAAGTCCTGCCTAACGAACCATACTTTCCCATAATAACTTTGCTCTGCCAACATGCTTTATTCTTTCAAACGCTTAAACTTAACTTCTTGCTCCCTAAACATCATAAAGACTGTAAAATGACACTTTCCCTTTTTTTTTACACATTTTCTTTCTCTTGCCGCCCCTGGTTCAAATGAAACGGATTTTTTTTTGGATGTCATGTTGTACAATATTAAGAAAGTCTCAGTTGTGTAATCTAATTAATTTACTTTTTATTAAATCCACGGGTACTTTTAGGAGCAATTTTGGAGCTTTACATAGTCATTATAGGTATTTTTAGCAAATGCGTCGGCTGGTGCATGTAATTATGTTTTGTTTGGTAATCTTGATCATCTTTGTGAGTTCATTCTTTTTTTATCTGATGCTTCAGCTGCTGCATCTGATCATGCTTTTTCATGGTTGTCATGGCTATCAATATGTTATGATGAGGTCTTGTGTAAGGAACTGATTGGCGGTTGTTAAAATACCTTCTCTCTAATTGTGTGCGTGTGTTTATAGGTCATGAAATGAATCCAAGAATATGGTGGTAGAAAAAAACAAGAATCATACAAGGAGTTGTTGCTTAAGTTGGTTAAGTTTGTTGCTATTGTTGGATGCTCTTCTAAAGTACATTGCTTTTGTGTGGTGATTAGAACTACACTTCAAAGATTAAGTCTTCTTTTGCTATCGTTTCTAATTATACGGTGTTTTAAGAGCATCTTGAGTTACTTGTAGAACAGCGCCTTGTTGCATATACATTTTTTTTGACCATTTTGCCCTTGATGTTGGTTTGTTGATTTTTTGAATGTGGTTCGGTTCGGTCAAATCCAATTAAATTAATCACATCATACTTTAGAGATAGGAAAGTGGATAACCGAAACATGTTACCTATTAGTCGATAAAAAAAAACTAAAATAGCCATTGAAATATATGTATAAAAGGGCATAACTACCATTTTCTAACAACTTTCATCACTTAATGTAGACCATACCATCTCCATAACAAACTCTCCACATAGGATCACACCTCTAACAACTATACCACTAGTTTTAGTCAAACTCTAGGCCTAAAACTAAAAATCGAAAAGTCATAACCCTTAAGAAAATTATTTTCCAAAATAACATACAATATGTGTTCCTTGTAATATGTCATGTTTCCGAAAGGGAAACTAATTGTGGAAAAAAAATATTCGTCGAATGAACTAATTGCCGAAACAATCTATTTGCCACCGTCGCTTTACGTGGGTATACGAGAGAGAGATTCAAATAAAATAGAGATCTTGAGATTCAACCTCAACCACATATTTCACATATGTCGCTTTAACCCTCCGGCGTACCGGCGTGACGGGTCAGTTATAATCATAAATGGTTTTATAGCGTCGCCCGTTCCTTTCTCTTCCGCCACCATCCCCACCACCACAATTGCCACCGCCACCACCTCTGTCACCACCCGACCCCGCTACTGCCACCTCCGCCACTTATACCACCGCCACCTCCGCCACCACCTCTTTTGCCACCAACTGTCCTAATCATATATGATTACTCAATCTGTGAACAAACATATATGTATAATCATTTATGATTATGCATATACATATAAACATGTATAATCATATATGATTATACCTATCTGCCATATACTCATTTATAATTAGACATACTTCGTTGCTGCCGGTACGCTGGAACGTTAGAGGCAAATGAAAAATATGTACTGAGGTTGAATCTCAAGATCTCTAATTTTATTTTAATCTCAAGTGAACCGTCCACTATATATATATATATATATATATATATATATATATATATATATATATATATATATATATATATATATATATATATATATATATATAGAGAGAGAGAGAGAGAGAGAGAGAGACATGCACATACATATACATACACGTACACATACATATTTATGCGATGTCTTTTCCGCTAATTACCTAAACATTACCAACATTTTTTTCATTTTCCGAGCATTAAATTAACTATTTTTTATTTTTTATTTTCACTAATTACCTATAATAATAATAATAATAATAATAATGGATTAAATTGATAACATGTTCTTATAATAAGCTAAAGTAAATTGATATTATGGTTTAAAAGTTAAGTAGTATGTTGTTATCATGAGTTAAATTGATAATAAACGAAACTACATATGTTTTAAAAGTTAAGTAGTACGTTGTTATTAACTGGATTTATAATAAACTAAAGTATATTGTTATTATGGTTTAAAAGTCAAGTATATTTACCAATTATATATGGCAGTCTTATCATTTTTTAGGTGATCAGGTTTTGTGAGGAAGTTTATAACATGCGACAAGTACAAGAGCAATTACAAGAACAAATGGAGATGTCTAAAAGACAATTCAATGGTTCTTGTAATCCATCCAGTGATATTTCTTAGCTTTATGTTTGTAAAAACTTTTTTCACATTTTTACTGTAATGTTTAATTAGGTTTATGTTTGAATATGATTATTATCATAGGTTTAGTATTGGGTTTTTTCTACATACCGACCAAAAAAACTGGAATTTTTTAAAATTTTACAACCTTTTTAAAATTGTAGGTATTGACCCCCCCCCCCCCCCCCCCCTTTTTTTTTTCCTGGTAGTGTATCTTCCAAGAAAGTTGTACAGGTTGTCAGGGGCGGATGCAGGATTTCACAGTAGGGGTTGCACGGGAAAATTAGGGGTTGCACGATAGTAGAAAAAATAAAAATTTTTAAAAATTTCGAAAATTTTTCCAATGCGGCCGGAAAAGTTCGGTGTTGCCGGTGCCACCCTGGACCACCCCTAAATCCGCCCCTGGAGGTTGTGGAGTTTGGCAAGCAGGAATTTGGACACTTAATGATTACTGCAAGGTGCATTTCCATAATATAGGTACGTAGGATCCATATAGATATAGTTACATCCATTTTTTGCAACACCTAAAATCCCCCCAACATGCATGCTTTCATAGTCCTCTCGGGATCAAGATGAATGGGTAACAAACATATATTGGCTTATTCGACGATTAAATGTACAAAGCAGGTGGTGGGCTCGAAGTCACTGAACTATTTGAAGTAGTCAAACCACTTGAAAAGTAGGAAGTTTGGTAATGCATCTGTTAGTAATTTTCCTAGTCGTTAATATTGTTAATTTATTCTAAGAAAGTTTGGTCATTTCGTTGAAACTCAACCTAATTGTAGAAGACTAAAAATATAGGATTTTGCGAAAGGGGGTACTTGGTTGACCATCATCGAACTACTTTTCGTTAACATGGCGGGAAAGTTGCATGAGGAAAGATTGAAATTAGTCACGGGGGAGCTACTCATGAGAAACCACATTAAACCGCAAGTTATCCACGAGTTCCCTTTTATCACCTTTGTTAGAAAGGTGTTTAGGAAACTCGCATACCATTATTTGCAAATCGCATGGTCATTTGGTGATAACTAATTAAAAAGTTGGCCATCCTGAATTATCTAATTATTAACAACGGCTGTTCACAAAATGTGTGTGCCCATATGCTGACCCGCAACCCATACAACCTTACAGATTGTGTAATGCCGATACGGATTGATAGTTTTAGCAAAAGCTCTATAAATACAGAAAGCCAATTATTGAAAACAGATGTGAAAATAATCTTAGTTATTGATACTTATTTAAACTAACTGATTATTTAGTCACAATAATCGTCTTACAGAGAAATGTTTGGAATTTAACCGGGATCTAAAAAACCAGTATCTTTTGAGCACTAGTGTTAAAAATCTTTCGGTTTAAAAAAATTGTCCCATAGCTAGGATTATCATTATTATGAATTTAGTTTTGAGTAAGATACAAAGAATGATGATAGGTTAAGTTGATTTTAATTTGTTAACTTTATTCATCATTACTTAGCACTTGCAAAATGTACGACATTATTATAAATTGCAAGTCAAATTGCATTTTTTTAGTCGATTTAATTTTTTTTATATTAATATTTAATAATTTTTATCAGAAGTCTATATAATCAATGATCCAATGACGTAAACAGAAATTGACTTTTGATAACCAAATCCCTTATTTGATTTTAAATTTATAACATAAACTCTTAAATGTTGATTTTAAAAGTACATGCCTTACAATAAAATTCGTGTTACCTGATGATATGAACAATGCATATAAATTGAATAACATAATAAAAGAAATAAAGAGCTATCCATCCTATGGAATTAGTAATCTCTATCATCCTAGGTCAATCGATGAACAAAAGAATAGGACTAAAAGGGGGAAAATTATACAATTAAATTGGAAAAACAAAAAATGAAATCCAAGAAGAAATGTACCTGAAGATTTATATGAAAATTAACACCAGAATCTCGAAAGAGATGCAAAAAGGTTAAAAAAAAGGCAGAAGAGATGGCATCACCTTTTTGCATACGATCAATATGCAACAATGAACACACATACATGTACAATGATATCCCAGCTCACGTGAAGACTGTGTATATATTTTACGGATTAATTGTATGACAGACTAAAAGAGCTCCTCTGAATTGAACTTGTTCCAAGCCTCCTAATATCATTCATGTTAATGTTAATCCAAGTATCATTATCCGTTAATTAAAAATAACTTTTTGAAATATGGAGAGCTGGTCTGATCCTATTACTGTTAGTAGAATATATAGAATACCAGAGGCTACATAGTACATATCTATACCTATACCTGATCCTGATTCCTGATTATAATAGAAGCATATCAGAAAATAGGGTAACAGTAGAGTACCTTAAGGAGGTCAAAAACCTTCTCGGCGACATATTTCTGTTGAAGAGTAGCTCCTTTTTGTTGCACTTTATCAGGATGGATACACAAAGTAGCCTTTCTATATGCTTTTTTAACACTCGCACCACTGATCAAATCAGTCAATGAAACAGCCTGCCAACCGCATTCAGGCCAAAGAACCTGGAATGGAAATCTCAGAATTAAGATGTCTTATTACTTAATAAATATTGGATACAGGGATTTGAAATTCTTGAATCATTAAAAAAAAAAAAAAAAAAAAAAAAAAGTTAGATAAGGAGACATACATATTGTAACGTTGATAGCATTGCTCGCAGATTTCCTTCCTTCCCTGCAGCCCAACGCTTGATTTCAACATCTAAAGTTGCAGAAATCCTCTGTTGAGATAAACACCACAAAAAGGTTACACAGAGTCAGAAAACCAAATAAAGATGCAACAAAATAAAATAGGAGATGTGCACAATACAAATACAATACTCACTTGTCTTTCTTCCTGTTCCTTCTGAGATTGCATATCTCGCTCATTTTTTTCAGCCAGTGCTTTAGCCTATAAACAAAACAAATCATGTACATTCTTCATTCCACTTCAGATAATGTCATTGAAAAATAAAAATATCATGAAAATATGTTACCACTCGTTCCTCGATGCGTTGGTCTCTTTCCATGTTAGCTCTTCTTCGTTCCTCAGTTTCCCCCCCTTCAACATCTTGGAATTCTCCACCTGGCGAAGCAGCTTTTTGTTAGTCAAAAGTTTTTCCCTCACAGAGCTAACTTGTAATGAAATTATACCTCCAAAAATTGAGCTAAGATCGTCAACAAAATTGGTGGTGGGAGATGTTTTCCTCACATTGAAAGGAGCGCCAGCACTGGAAGAAGCCCTGTGGGCCACTTCTGGGACTCGTCTCTCCTGAGACAGTGGATCAGTTGCAGAGTCCTATGTATTATATACACCAGATAATCATAACCAAACAATTATTTCCAAAATACTACTTATTTTATAAAGATGTATATCATTTGCTACTCACAGAAGATGTCCTTGATTTTGGCACACTGTTTGGTCGGGAACCCATGTTAAAAAAGGAATCCAGATCATTATCATTCTTTTGTTGATTCACCTTAACAGCAGCGGCAGCCCTGTCTCGAGCTTCTGCAGCGGCTCTCTCACGAGCCTCAGCAGTGACCCTTTCAACAGCAGCACGCTCTGCTCTACGTCTTGCTTCTGCTTGAGCCTTTGCAACAGCAGCTTTCTCACGTGCTTCTTTCTCTTTGGCCTCTGAAGCAGCTTTTTCTGCTGAAGCCCTTTCTCTGGCTTCAGCAGCAGCTCTTTCTGCTCTTCCCTTAGCCTCAACAGCCGCCCTCTCACGAGCCTCAGCTTGAGCTCGCTGAACAGCAGCTCTTTCCGATTTTAACCGAGCTTCAGATGCAGCTCTTTCACGAGCTTCCCTTGTAGCCCTCTCTACAGCTTGTCTGGTTTTCTCCCTCACCCTCTCTTTCTCTTGTTCCTCTCTATCTACTTCTTTACTTCTAGAAGCATTCGTGTGTTCCTTTTCCCTTACAAAACTCTCAAGCTCATCTAACGGAGAAGATGATTGCCTTGGACTTGGTATAGGAGGAGGGGGTCTTGAAGGTGGTGGAGCTTTAGTAACCGCTGTGAACAGAGGGATCTCTGACACAGTCAGCCATATGTCATTCTCTTCTGATTTTGGGGATGGGCCCGCCTGAGAACTTGTATCGGTATGTGAAGTGGGAGAGTTTCTAGAAACAGCTGGCATGTCAAAGACGCTTTGATGATCCTCAAAAGGTGACTTCTGTGAGAATGATTCTTCTATAGAGCTTCGTGCACTGCCTATACTGGAGCCTTCTTCTGAACACTTTCCCCTGTTATTTGTCTCCTTTGCGGATGAAGAAGGTGAAGAAGATTTATTGAAACCGTTAAGGGAGTCTATGTCACCAAACACATCCCCACCTTTTTTTGTGCTCTTGGATTTACCAATTCTGCTTATCTCTTCTAGTGGGTCTGTGAAAAGACCCTGGGATGAAGCTGAAGCAACAGGGGTTGACATAGATTCTAGCACTGCAAATGGGTCATCTGCTGCATTAGATTTTTCCTTTCTTTTGATAGCTGATTTTGGGCTTGGATCTGAATTCCATCTGTTACAAAAGTATAATACCCAACTTAGATTATTCATCTGTCACCAATATGTTTGACTACTCATACAACTAAAAGTATGAAAATAGATAACCATGTTAATGCACTTTCATACTTTTATCAGAAACTTATGTGAAACAAAAGAATGTACATGTTGCATACTTACACTCTCATAGTTATATCAGTTAAAACATAAATCATCAATAGCAGTTAAGATGATTAACAGTCTTGCAACACTCACCAACAAACTCATATTTGGTGTCATGATTTTGAGATGGTTCAAATTTCACACCGATCTTCTTTATCTAGGGAGATGCGAGTGTATGCAAAAGATGATTAATATATCACCCCAACCATGTTTATGAAATTCTTAAATTCCTTGGAAAGTATTCCTTTGTTCTGTCGCTACAACCTACAAAAAGTTTTAATTTGGAGTCCCAACTGATTTTGAACATATGTACAACATTTAACAAAAAAAAAAAAAAAATCAGCTCGAGAACGAAGTATATAGAACCTGGTAACACGAAAGTTCATCATCCAATGTATAAAAAATATATTTAGAACCACCGATGGTTTCAACAGATCAAAATGAACAATACCAAAAGGATTGTGAAACCAAGACTTACTAGATGGATAAGATGTACAATTACCCATCTAAAAATGACTTAAAATGCAAGACATAAAGTGAACCATTTCATGGTTGGAGTTTCTATAAAATTTTCAAGGATGAATGGCCTTGTGGGCTATGTATATCCTGAAGAGCATTCTCACAGAATCATGCGGGTAGAAGATGGAGCATCCAACTCACACAGATCATGAAGCTCACGGCATGTTCCCATTATTCAAGAGTTCCCATTCTCTTGAAATGCACAACAATGAAGAAAAATAAAATGGAGCCATTAATTTCTTCAGTAAATTTGCTTATAGATAAAAGCCTATCAAGAAAGGTAGGAATGTAAAGAAAATTGGACAAACTGATATTAGGATTAAGATTACTGAGACTACAGAAATAGTGGTGCTGTTGGCTATGTTAATTGGAGGATGACTGAAGAAAAAGAGATTGCTTAGTATATCTTTATTCCCTGACATGTGATCTAATGCACTAGTAGCTAGTATGAAGAAACAAATGCTTTAAGAATTGCGCCATTGATTTCAACATGTTCTGCAAATATGATAACTTCTGACAAGCTTAGGACACTGTTCTCAAATGGGGCTACTAGATACACACAAATACCTTCATTCGTAAAGCTAAAATACATAATCCTACCCGGCTACTCATATAGGTTTCTAGTACCAAATATTGATTTAACTTCAATGACTGATTCCTTGGACAACCAAACTATACATCAATGGCACTTGATGGTTATACAATCTCAAAGCCAAGTACAAATAATTTTCATAATATTAGTGATTGTGCTTTTTATGCTCGAGGTAAACTAATTGATTAATATGTATAAACGAGTAGTCCATTCATAAGCATTAAGTGAACAACTAAACAACTGCTTAAGCAAAGCATAATACCTGGTACCAGATGCAGGACTGCCGCTTCCGAAGCCAGGGATCAAATCATCAAAACCTCCTGGACTCTTATTACTTTGATTCTTGCTCGGTTGAGCCTTCTCTGTTCGTCCTAAACTACTAAATAGATCATCGAAATGACCACTCTGTGGACTCGGTTTAGGCGGTGAACTACTCATTGATGCAAAAATGTTATCATCGTACCTCCCCGGGGAAGAAAAAGATACTGGCGTGCTCTTTATCCCTGGCAATCCATCGAAAATGTCGTCATCATACACAGGCTTATCATAAACCGGCGAATTCGAAGACGTAGGTTTCGTTTTAGTTTCATTATTACTAGGCGATACAGAGTCCTTGAAAATCGAATCGTAATCGAAATCAGACATTGAAGATGTCGATTTCGAGTTGTTGTTGGTGTATTTAGGCGGACCGCCAAAGACGTCGTTAAAAATATCCTTCCCATCGGCAGCGAATGTTGCTGATGACGGTGAATTTCGGCTCCGGCGATCTCCACCAATCGATTTCATCGGAGCAGATTTTCCTTGAGGCCGAAACCCAAAATCTTTCGCTAACATACTGAACTCATCCATTTGATCCACTAGGTCTCGCAACAGAAATGCAAATGTCAAACTATTGCAAAGGTAATTGACGTTGAAATTATATAATATGTACGTTAAAAAGCTCGCAATGCGTCACAAATATGGAGACACCGGAATTAGCGTCGGACAACGGAGGAGGAGGCGGCGGAGGTTGAATCGACGGCCGTTGATCCTCACGGCGGAATTTCTTTTTGTGTGCGCTCCTTGATTTCACTTCGTCGTTCCTCCGTCTGTGTCAATCTTGGCACTTTCTCCATAACGTTTCTTAAATTCGGTATTATTTTCTCGCGAGAAAATCATGATATTTTGGTCAATTTGCGTGTTGACCTTATTGTCTTATGACATTTTCAACAGATCATCTATTAAATAAAATCCAATGACTTCCAGCCTAGCTGGGAAGAGGTACCGGGTTTAATACCCACGTGGGGTCAGAGGTCGGGAGTTCAATCCCTGTAAAACCTAATTTGGGTGCCTCTTAAACTTGTGCCACATGTGGAGAAATTTTCCCTGGAAACCCCTATGGGGGCTGAGTTTGCCCTGTAAAGGAGCTCGAACCCAGGGTGCTCGTTGAAATATGCGAGTAGGCTTCCATTTAATCATTTGCCGTTTCCAAAAAATCTATTAAATAAAAGAAATCATTAATTATTAAATAAAAGAAAATCATTAATTATTCGTTACTTCCTTTCTACTCATAAAAAGTGTTGTTTATAGGGTTTTCGAGTTATCTTATCTCGAGTTATTATATTACTTTAAGAGAACTTAAATATCTTTTTATAATTTCTTCTTATTTATCTTTCTATACATATAAAACTAGAAAGGTTACCCCCGCTACGCGGGGGCCAGAAGCTTTCAATGTTGTTTCCGAATCGATAAATATGACAGACAAAGAAAGTGTAAGGATGACAAGCCCGAGCTTTGCCACAGACCGTTTTGTTCATGTTTTTATGAAAAAATGTAAAAGTTTTTGACTGCAAGGACCAGAAGTGTCAAAATGGCTAAAGAATTAAAGCGGTAGGAATTAGCAAGTTTTTAGAAAAGGGATCAAAGTTGTCGAATCGTTAAAGTTTTGTGGCCAAACTTTAAATATTAAAAGTTTCCTAAATAGAAAAGGGATCAAAGTCGTCAAACCGTTAAAGTTTTGTGGCCAAACTTTAAATATTAAAAGGTTCCTAAAAAATGTAAAAATATCGATTATAAGGACCAAAAGTGTCAAAATGGCTAAAAAATGAGGACCAAAGTTGTCAAACCGTTAAAGTTTTGTGGCCAAACTTTAAATATTAAAAGGTTGCTAAAAAATGTAAAAATATCGATTACAATGACCAAAAGTGTCAAAATGGCTAAAAAATGAGGACCAAAGTTGTCAAACCGTTAAAGTTTTGTGGCCAAACTTTAAATATTAAAAGGTTCCTAAATAGAAAAGGGATCAAAGTTGTCAAACTGTTAAAGTTTTGTGGCAAAACTTTAAATATTAAAAGGTTCCTAAAAAATGTAAAAATATCGATTACAAGGACCAAAAGTGTTAAAATGGCTAAAAAATGAGGACCAAAGTTGCCAAAGTACAGGGACCAATTCTGCCAAAAAAACAACATAAAGTCCAGGGACTAAAATAGACAAAAATTATGGAAGTTCACTATTCATAAGAAACAATTTCCGTAATATATATATATATATATATATATATATATATATATATATATAATGGTAGTATGTATCATATTTAATAAAATTAATTATATTTGAGAACATTTGTCATCATTTTAAATAGATAGGAAATAGGAAGATAATTAAAAAGAGAAATAAAAAGATATTTAATTTCTCTTTAAGAAACTGTATAAGTATTCTTAATTGCTACCAAAAAACTTCTAGCCCGGCGGTATCCGATGTTATCCTCCCTCCTTAAGGTCGAATGTTCAAGTCTTACTGTGAACATAGGTGAAATAATTTAGGAGAATTGTAATATATATTTGTATTTGCCGTTAAAAAAAGTATCCTTAATTGGTTGTTGTACCTTCATATGTGTGTGCGAGTGAGCTGTTATATTTGACTTTTTTATATGAGTGAGAAAGTAATAATACCCATTATACTTTTATTAAATTGTTCCTTTTTTTGGATTTTAACTTAACAGTTATAAATTTCATAAAAAAACTCAAAAATACAAACTCTAACACCCCGAGTTCAACTTAACGAGAGAAAGGAGAAGAAATATGCGGAAATGAGAAGAAAATAAAAGAAATTGATGTTCCCGAGTTTCATTAAAGGAGGGAAGTGGAAGGAAGTGGAGAGAAATGGGAGAATCATTTTCCCTCCTAACTTTCCTTCCGATTTGGAAGGATTTGGAAAGAAAGAACAAAATGATTCATTTTCCTTCCACTTCTCTCCAATTCGGGAACACAAAAGAAAATATTGTTTTCCTTTCTTTTCTCTTCTTTTCTCTCATGACTTTCTTTTCTCTTCTCTTCTTTTCTTTTGTTAAACTCGGGAACCAGGCGTAAGGCTGTGTTTGGCGCGCCACAGCTAGCTGATAAGCTAGCTCATTTTTCGAGCTTTTTTATGTTGTCGTGTTTGGTAAGCCAAAAAGTAGCTTTTGAAAAGCTACTTAGACTAGCTTTTTAGGAGTTTTTTTTAAATTTTCTAAATACACCCCTTAATTAATTATAGAAACACACTCCTACATGTCCTTTTATGTAATTTTATATATTTCAGCTAGTTTTACCAAACGTTATTTTTTATCAGTTAACTTTTTATTTAACAGCTAGCTTTTCAACTATCAGCTAGCTTTTCAGCTAGTACGCCAAACATAGCCTAAGTATGTTTGAACTGACATAAAATAAATCATAAATTATAGCGATAGTATATTATTCTTCGCACATGCAACTAAAGAAAGTTGATTCGTGATTCCATTTTCTCCTTACGAGTATTAATTATTTGCATTGGGTGAGTATTGATTATTTGTTTGTTCCTGATTTACAGTGCAACGTTACAATCAAATTTATAATTTTATATCGCTAAATAGTCGTGAGAATCCTAATTCAATTCATATAAGAGTTTATCTCCCTCGTGAACTAATATTTACAATATGTTCCCTAATTAATATCTCCAATGTGGTTTTGTTACCATAGAGTAAAGACAAACATAGGGCTTACATATTTTGAATATCTCGATTCTCATAGAGAATAAGGGCTTGTTTGTTTTTTGGCAAAAAGACTTTTTGGGTACTTACATCTGCGGGTGGGTAGATGTTTACCAAAAATACCGTTTGTTTTCTGGAAGACAAAAGAACTCAAAAAGACTTCTTTATCACTTCTTGTATGAAGGCATAGAAAAATACTTTTGGTCCACGTCTTCTGCCGCAGATACGGAAAAAGACTAAAGATATTTTACCACTTCCAAAACAAACACCACCTAAGACACCACAAAGGTTGTATAATTCTCTGTGTCCTCTTCGATAAGGCCATAGTTAGAAAAATAACAATTGTTTCATTTGTAGATGTAACAGTTCATTCTCTAATTATTGTGTTATGACTTCATGTAATTACATTTGTTTTTTTAATTCATATCATCTTTGTTAAATATTATTCACGAAATGCGTTCATCAACAATTTTCTTCACGAGTACTTGTGCTTTTGCACATTCCCCACAAAAACATTCAACTACGCAGACATAAATGAGTATTACTACATAATTTTTGACTTAATTGCATGTAAAAAGAGATGTTATGATAATAAACACCAAGATTATATTCTTAACCCTATATATCTTCTCTCATTTCCCAAGACATCGACTTTCTTTTCTCTCTTCTTCCTCGTTGTTGTTTATTTGGATGTTATGATTGTTCAAATTACTTGGCTTGTTTGCAAGAGGTATTGTGTTGGGGGTTTAAAATGTCTCTAATGGTAGATGTTGAACCATAAGGGGTATGTTGAGAACAATGTTGGCAATTTAGATCAATATAGTTATATAGATATCTATTTTTGCAACACATAAAGTTCTTCCAACATGCTTTCAAAGATCTATCCGGGAAAGTAGATCCTAAATGAATAGATGTACCGATGAAGAGGATCTACTAGAAATGGAAATATAAGAAGGTGGTCAAAAGGTTATTTTTTGATTTATTCCATTCTTAGTAGTTATTCTAGTAGTTTTCAGTGTATGTACCATTGTGTGTTGACCTATAAAAAAGTTCCTATTCCAAGGAGTATCTATACAAAAACAAACTAGAAACACTAATTTACTACAAAATGATTGTTGGTTCCATTCAAAACGAGATACGATGTGATGCAACCACTTCATGGGAAACATTGCGTCTATTAAATAAACCTTGTAAATAGCATGAATGTTCGTTTTTAACGATAAGAGTTACATAGGAACCAAAAGGCTTCTAGCCCAGCGGTACCGGGTGTTGATTTCCCTCCTAGAGGTTGAGGGTGCAAGTCTCATTGGAGACATATGTGGAATTAGGAGTAGTTTATAGATTTGCCGTTCTAAAAAAAAAGTTACATAGGAAACAACATTTCCATAAATAACACAAGCGGATGTTATGCATTTCAACTTAAATAATCGCAAATGTAGTGACAATTAGGAGGTAATGCATTAATGCTTGTGAAAAGTTTGTGTGGTTGTCCATTTCACTTAATAAGCCCTAAATGAGCAAATTTATATTAATTCGGTTACATCCTGCTTCTTCTTAATGGCTTCATCACCTTCTCTATCGGAGGGGGCTTCATATGAAATGTTGAAATCAAAATGTGACGTAATGTCGAAGTTCTATTATTTACCTCTTGGACTCCCTTAAATCTGGGTAAAGGTTTTTTGGATGCCCTAATTTCAAGGTACGTATAACAAAAATCTTTCTATGTAATCGACGCATGCATATGTTATGTTGAATTTTTACGGCTCGTATCAAGTAATCGAAGTTGGAGCTTACCTTTTACCCCTGTTAGTAGCAATGTATCAAACTTTAAATTCTCTAGGAATATTAACCAAGTGGAGCTCAAGTGGCATTGATCCCTGTGGAGAAAACTATAAAGGCATAACGTGATCGAAGTCAAGAGTCGGCAAACTATTGGTGTATTCCATTCATTATTATGCAAGAGTTCTAAAACATTAACTGTTTTATGTTTTTATTATCATTTTTCTGGTTGACTTCAGACATCTTGTTTGCTTTGTCGGGGGTGGGGTTCATTAGGCATCAACACCTGATAGCTTATTTAAGAAATTCACAACTCTTTTGGGGTTTGAAATAAGCATCTGATAGAGCTTATTTTATGAAATTTGGTATACTTCTTGCTTCCACCAGTCATGGTGCTTGTCCCTCAAAAGTTTGCCATATGTTTCACCATTGTAATAGATTCCTTTTTTGCCCTCGGGATATAACACTCAATTTACACATATGACATCTGAAGAGGTAATTTAAACCATCTGTTTGTTTTTCTTCTTTGAAATTGAGAACTTAATGCATTTGTTTGCTTCCATTCTCTTCTACACATTTTTTAACTAATAATTTCACACCAGTATCTTCTACACATTTTAACTAATATGAATTCATCATTCATGTATCTTACAGTGGTTTGACAAGGCTGAAAACAACATTGGTTCACTTACCTCAAGAAATCATCAATGAAACATCTGCAGTCAAGATCATAATATCTTATCGTATGGCTGTGATTCTGCAATGTATTTCTTCGATCTTAATAGAAAAACTGTGGTTAGCATGATTTGTTAATTGAGATTAGGTTTCGGTAGTTTGTGCTGTCTGTGTGTTTGCTCACTGATTTTGTGTTGATGAAATATGTCTATAAACTCTACTATATTTCATAGATCAACAGAATAGTGAAAAGTATCCTCCATTAGCCCCCTTTTATAAAATAAATAACTATTTGACTCATAAACCAACCACACAAGCAGTTAAAGTTATATCCTCATTTTAAACTTCTACCAGGCTAAGTTGAACAGTTAAAGTTATACCCTATCATATATATATACACAGATTAAAAATCCTTCCAACACAACTCTCTCCACAATAACCCAAAAACAAACCAACAAGAATCCAGATGACCAAAAACCAGAAAAAGCACTCATCCTTACGATCTGTTTCCAGATCATATTCTCAAGAACCTGAGGGGTCTGAAGAGAAGGAAATAAAGATCTATGTATTGGAAAAAAAAAAAAGATTTTCTTTTTAATTTTTTCTATCAAAAAATTCAAGATTGCGTCCGATAAAGTATAGACTTGGCAAGTTCCTCGTTGAGCTTCACGGGTAGTGGTGGCATCCGCTTCATTACCTCTGGCATGTCCTTTACCCTGCCATTATATATAAATTTTTCGATTTTTTAACTTAAAAAAAAAAAACAAAAAGTAGGGAACAAACGAAATATTACAACAATATCTCATATCTATTGATCTACATACAACACCTAATAAGAAAAAAAAAAAAAAAAAAAACACTTTATAGAGTCTAGGAACAAAGGTATTCCCCCGTTAAGTCCTAACTATTTACAAATTTGCCCAATTTACTTTTCTCTTCCATTTCCCTAATTTGTGCCATCATTTTTAGAATTATTTAATTTACATTTTTTGGTTGATGAAACAGATAATTTTTTAAATTTTGGTCCCAATAAGTTTTCTCTTTGCAACTTTGGTCCTTATTTGGGATTTTTGTAATGTTTTTTGTCCATTTTCCAAGTAGCAATGTAGCATAACTAATTTTGGTCCCTGAGTACAGTTGATTTTTTGCAATTTCGTTTCCAAAAATAGTTATATTATTTAGAACAGAGACCTAAAACGTTACAAGAACCTTAAATAAGGACCAAAATTACAAGAGAAACCTTTTTGGGACCAAAACTGGCAAAAAATGGTTATACTCAAGGACCAAAATGTAATGTACGGAAAAAGAAACAGTGCATACACGGAAAATCCTAGATCCATAGAGAGCTTATGACTTACTCATTCGAGATTTTATCAATATTGTTTCTCACTTGGCGAAAAAGATTGATGTTCTCATGTAACTGCCACATAAGAGAAACTCAACCATATTAGACATATATGCCCTTAAAAGTTTTAGGGAGTCCAAGTTTGACTTTTGTGTTGACTCGTAGTCCAATCCAATACATGTATATGAACCTTTTTACATTTTTAAAAGCAAAATCTTCAGCCCCATGATAAGGCCTTGAACTTTTGGTTCAAGTTTTAAAAAAATAGAAATTTACCTTCAAAGTAGTAAAATTTACAGAAATTTGATGCAAAGCCATTGCATTCTGTTCAAGAAGCTTCCCTATCTCACCATCAATAACTGCAAGCAACAGTTAAACTTTTTAAGAATGAAAATCCAAAATCCAAAAGTAGCATCAAAGACATAATTGCTAAGATTCTTCATTGCTGCATAAAGATACAGATAAATTGTCTGTCCTAATATTTTACCCTTTTTTTACAGATAAAATCCACCAACCTTTGTAATTGATGCCATCATCATTGTTTATGGAAGAGGATGATGATGGAAGACCATTGGCATGATTTGCAGCATGAGAAGATGGCTTCACTTGTTGTTCTGTAGTTTTTTCCTGGACATGAAAAAAAGAAAAGGAACATGAACAATTATGTCTTAAGACAGTTTTAAAAAAAACAATCACTTTTACTAAGGCTCAAACAAGATTTCTTGTATCTATTCTTTAATGTTTTCATACACCAAAACTGACAAAAACATAATTTTTTTTCTCATTTTTTCTTTGATATGTAATTTGATAATAAACAGAAAGAGTTGAAACAAGTAGAATTGTTGCATTTGGCATAGACAAGTAAAGCATACCCTTCTATTATTCTGCTTCCTTGATGAACCCTCCTCGTCTTTCCTTCTTTTGCCAATTTCCTTTTTCTGGAAAGATATAAAAATCAGAGCCTATATAATTAGATATAGTACTACCACCCATTGGTTTACTGTTATTTCAATATAAACAAGTTGTAATACCAATAGAGAATTATATATCAATTAAAAATAAACACAACATAAATCATATACAAAATGATAAAAAAAGGTAGTTCCAGAGAGATAGAGATCATACAGTCATCCATTGACAACGACACGCCACATCCCGTGATGTTTTGTCTTGTAATTCCTTTGAAATTTTTCTATAACACAATTCTCTACGATCCGAGGCATATCTGCATAAAAGATCATACCCTATTATTCTTACAAACACAATTGACTGAAAATCACAACAATTATATGATTCTTTACGTCAAAAAGATAATCAAACTTTATAGTTTATAAAGATTAACTTACTTGACAAGCAGTTCTTCCAACAAGGACTGTTCAACAGAAGTCCATTCCGTTGAGATAAGAACATTGTGCAGCAACCCATGCTCAGAAGAGCCCATGACACCGTTGCTACACTTATTATTATTGGCACCATTTGTACTCATCTTTCCCACGCAGTCTTCAAGTATCTCTAACAGTCAGAAACCTGGATAATGGTAGTTAGTATTTTTTTTAATTTCAACCAGAAAAAAGAAAATAGAATATTAACCGGCAATAGGGTGTGATTTCTATTTTCTAGTCCGGATGCAACAAAAGGCCTCTTATTATCATTTGAAGAATTTGTAATATGAACTAAAAACTATATTAGGAAGAATCAACTTGAGGGATCTTATGAAAAGTGAACCACAGGAGTACTTGCTCCCTGAATGTCTTTCCCACATGAACTAGTAGGTACTTATGTTCCCCAGCACTTGGACTATATATAATCAATCAATCAGAAGAGATGTATTGCACCTATATATAGAGTATACAATATTGGAACAAAATTGGCATCCTCGACTCTAGAGCCATACCACCGCATATGTTCTATGAATCACTAAACTATGATATCAACAACGATTGCACAGATGTGGCTATCTAGTCAAAAAGAATATTTCATCAAGCACATGATATACATTTAAATTTACATATTCGTTTAAGAAGAAGAGCGCTTCTTCAATGAAATCAAACGAGTATGGAGATTACATAGAAATAGTACTGTACTACAGATTCATGCACGGGTGCGATTCTTGTCAAGGATAAACGAACCAGGAACTGAACCCTGAGCATGTTAATTAAGAAAAAAAGGAATGTATTTTGGTCGATCACTTACCATGATTTGAATGAAGTCCTAACACTGTTGTTTCTACAATTCTAGTCTATCCCTCACGAACTCACAGTTGAAAGCGAATTTGTATATGGGTAGAGCATAGAGGTGTATTTTTAGTAGGACTCCATCAGGGCTTGAATACGTAGGGGATTTGGATACGTAGGGAATACGGATGCACATAGATGAATACGTAGGGAATACGTAGGGGATTTGAATACGTAGATGGATGAATACTTAATTTTCTGATTTTAACATTGGCCCCTACTCTACCTCAGTTTGAAAAAAACACCACAAAATTTTGTTTTTCATTAATTTAATGGTACTTCTCGAAATAGCAACATATCCCCCTCTACTTATCTTATTTTAGTTTTCAATATCTCTTATTGAACATGATTACATGTAAGTTTTCCCTTATTACATTTATTATTCTTAAATAATTTAAATGTCACCTACACCCGTTTATATTAATTTAAACCCCAAATATATTATAATTTTCATATTTAAGAAAAATTTGATTATTATAAAATAATTAATTTGAAGACCAAGAACATGCACAACTCAAGTAGCAGGCCTTCACCCTCACTCACAAATTCTAGTCTATCCCTTTCGTACATATTCGTCACATATAACTCACAGTTGAATACGTATATGGATAGAGCATAGGTGTCTATTTTTTAGTAGGACTCCAGCAGGGCTGAATACATAGGGGATACAGAACAAATTTCTTTTGGGAATACGGATGCACATAACAGGTGTAGATGGATGGAGACATAATTTTCTGATTTTTAACTTTGGTCGTTGATCGACCGAAGTTTGTAAAAACACCTAAAAGTCTCGTTTTTCATTAATTTAATGGTAATTCTAGAAATGGCAACATACCTCCCTCTACTTATCTTATTTTAGTTTTCAATATCCTTATTCAACATGATTACATTCAAGTCTTCCCTTATGACATTTAATACCCTTAAATAATCTAAATGTCACCTACACCCTTTTATATTAATTTAAAACCCTAATATATTATAATTTTCATATTTAATGAAATTTAATTATTATAAATTAATTAATTTGAAGACCAAGAACACGCACAACCCAAGTCGCAGGCCTTCACCCTTACTCACAAATTCTAGTCTATCCATTTCATATGTATTTGTCGCGTATAACTCACATTGAATATGTATATGGGTAGAGCATAGGGGTGTATTTTTTAGTAGGACTCCATCAGGGTTGAATACGTAAGGGATACATAACAAATTTCTTTCAGGAATACGGATGCACATAGAAGGTGTAGATGGACGGAGGCTTAATTTTCTGATTTTTAACTTTGGCCCCTGATCTACCGCAGTTTGGAAAAACACCCAAAGGTCTCTTTTTTCATTAATCTACCGCAGTTTGGAAAAACACCCAAAGGTCTCTTTTTTCATTAAATTAATGGTAATTCTGGAAATGAAAACATACCTCCCTCTACTTATTTTATTTTAGTTTTCAATATCCTTATTCAACATTATTACATTCAAGTCTTCCCTTATGACATTTAATACCCTTAAATTTAATTTAAGGTGTTGTTTGTTTTTTCGAAGCGAAAATGTATGAAGTCTGTGGACCACTTCTGTAACCCTCTGCATCAGAAGAGGTGGAGCAAACGGCTGCCGCCTGTAATTGCAGGCTGCTGCAATAAACTGAAATTCAAATAAATTGATTTTACAAACTTAAAAAATAGTTTTTCAACACTGATATTTTAATAATTCTAATCTTATAACATTGAAATAAAATTCATACAACCAAATTAGTTTTGATTTCAAGTTCTCACACATTTCATCTACTAAACTCCAATTACTTTGCTTCATATTTAAATTTTGTTTTGAAGTAAGGTCCCGTTTGATAGTTTCTGTCTGGGAAAGTGTTGTCTGGTAAAGTGCTGTCTGGAAAAGTTTTCTTACTGGGAAAGAAACCATGCTGTTTGATTGTACATCTGATTGACTGTGCTGAATGATGAAAAAAGTAATAATTCAATAAAAAATAAATTTAAAAAAAGTTATTTAAAAAAATTAATAATCCAATAAAGAAAGAAAGAGGCGGGGTTTGGTGTATAATTGTCTTTCTAGCCCATTCAGCCAGAAAGATATGATTTTGGGGCTTTCTGGGAAAGACATATCTTACCGGGAAAGACTCCTTCTTTTGTGCAAATCAAACAGTCTTTCCGGTCCATTCAGCCAGAAAGATCTATTTGGACCTGGAAAGATGCGTATCAAACGGGGCCTAAGCTCATTCAAGATTATTATATTATAAATGTTTTGAGTTTTGCATGAGTGAGTCATTTCTCCACTTAAGACGGTATTTTGATCAGGATAATACGAAAAAGAGGCCTCTCTTTTAGCATTTTGAATAACATTCCTTTATATAAACATGTATTGCAAATAAAAACCAAGGAAAGAATAACATCAAATTACCAAAATCGATTTCATGGTATGTAATGTAACGACCCAAAATTTCAAGGTAAAAATTTTGTTTTTAATTCAACCATAAAACACCATTTAGTAATACCAATCATTCAAAAGTATATTAATGTAAAAACAATTATCAGAGTACAATCCCAAAATCATCACATTGCGGAAACTTGGGTGGATGCAGTGCAGTCACGCCGGACCCTTCCCTTTCGAACTGGAAGTACCTGAAACATAAACTGAAAACCGTAAGCACAAAGCTTAGTGATTTCCCCAAAATTTCACATACCATACACATATACATATAACAACACATGGCTATGTCAGGTCCGTATCAACTCCATATAACAACACATAGCTGTATCGGGTCCGAATCAACCCCATATAACAACACATAGCTGTGTCGGGTCCGTATCAACCCCATATAACAGCACATAGTTGTGTCGGGTCCGTATCAACCCCATATAAGAACACATAGTTGTGTCGGTCCGTATCAACCCCATATAACAACACATAGTTGTGTCGGGTCCGTATCAACCCCATATAACAAAACATACAGTCATATCAGTAGTAGTCACAAATATAGCTATCATCCTACAACATAATTCAGTGGGCCGACATTGGTGCATTCGACCCACGAGTATAGTAAAGAGACTCACCTCTACTGATGATAACTGAAACAACACTCGATCCGTGACGAACACTGCTCCTCACGCTAAACAAAAACCAGAAACAAACCCAATCAATAATTAGGGTTCAAGCCAAACCCATGGTCTAGTCCATTCCTCATCATGATGAGGGAAAAAGACCATTTTGCCCTTTATATACAAGCCCAACTAAACTAAGCCCAAAACCCCTAATGGCCCAAGGCCCAAAACTGATCCACTGGGCTTCTGCTGAGAACGCCTAGCGTTCCACCCTATGACGCCTGGCGTCCGAACGCTGGGCGTTCCCATGCAAACGCCTGGCGTTTGCTTGCTGATTACCAACTTCCAAACCAATGTTTTAATGGCTTAAGATCTCATGTCTAAACTTCATATCCAATCATAATGGAACGTCAAAAGCCATAAAGTTTCAAACTTTATGGCCATGCATGGCTAAAATGATCCCAACACCAAGATCCTAACTCAAAATCAACTATAAGGCTCCAAAACTCTTGCATGGAAGATTATGAAGACCCAATATTGCATTTTTATGATTCTATACTCATAATTATGCTTGAAAGGACAGTCCAAACCTCTGGAGCATTCCAAACTCACAAAGATCAAGTCTTTGGGGACCAAAAAGAACATAAACTAGCCCTAATTCAAGATCTAACAAATGAGACATCAAGATCTAAACTTTATACCTCAAAATGATGATCCAAGATGTCAAGAGTCTAGATCCACAAGCTAGAGAGCAACCACAATACTCCAAAGATCTTCCTTCTCTTATCAAGAACACTAAATGCTACCAAAAAGATGAACCAAGGCTTCAAACTCTCATAAACACTTAGGGTTTTCGAAATGAGGATGGAGGTTGGAGTTGTGAAGGGTTTTGAGGCCATAATGTTCTTTAAATAGGGTGCAAACTCTAAAAGTTAGGGTTTGGTCTCTGCGTGCAAATGTCTGGTGTCCATCATAAAACGCCTAGCGTCCTATGCCAAACGCCTGGCGTTTGGACCAAAGTGCCGAAAATTAACACAACAAGGTTAAAAGTGTAAATACCTGGAAACCATGGTGTTACAAATCTCCCCCGGTTTATTGGTCCCTTCAGGATTATCGCCCACTTTCTTTCCAAAAAATCAAACCTTTTGATGTTGGGTTTTTGTATACTACAACATCCTATGGCGTACATACAACCCTAAATGCTT